TCATATATATACATTGAATAACACGAAAGAAAAATTCTTTCGAAACAACTTTCATATGAACACTGAATTATACAAAAAACATTTTTCTCTACTCAGTTTTTATTCCGAACATTAGTTATGGAATTAAATCAGATATCATTCACAGGATATCTACACAATATACTGAATCAAAGGTTAACATTTCGCTCACATGGAACAGAGTCATCCTCACTGGTGGACATCGAGTTTTGCCGCAAGACACTTGCCTTAGGTCTGTTTCAGGAGAGCTTTTTCTTCCAGTTTGTGTCTAAAGGTTGCTTTTTTGCATGATCTACACATCTATACAGTAGCTTCAGAGCTGAATAAACTCTATATTATTATCATCATTGAGCTTATCACCTTGTAATAATTTGATATTTTTGTTGTCATCGAATGTCATTACTTGGGAGTCTTGCACGTGATCGACCATAGTCTCCAATGTCTCTGTCGTTTGTGATACTGTGGTTAGTGCGGTTGGCGAGTTTATGTATTTAATTGTTTCTTAATTTTTTTCAATATGTACCTACGACTTCTTTCACCTAATATGAAGATAAATGTGTTATACAGTTTCGCATCCCTTCTGTTCTCTGGCAGAGTACAATATCTCTTGTTCGTGTTGTTTTCGGCATTCAATGGCGACTAGAGGTTCCAAGTCCAATCAAATTGAATGGAAATCATTTGTTTTTCTGGAATAACTGTCGATTTGGAAGAGTCAGTTGATTTTTCGTTATTTCATTTCTAGAGAAAAAAGTGGAAGTGCTTCCTGAAAAAAATCAATTTCTTCTAAGACAACGACAATCCCAGAAGTGGATTACTGGTATCTGGATGCTGGGATGGAAATGAACCAGAATGCACAACTACCTATGAACTGCATACATCGTTTCAATAATATAGCACTCAAGGTAGTATAATGTATACACCGCTCTTGAAACGTTACTCAAAATCAAGACAAAGTGGCAGGGCACGTAGAGAACCAGCATGAGCACCCTACTCACCCGAGATTATTGTAATTCTTTCTTTTGGGTGAAAGTAAGAGCGGAGTGGGGAATACTGAAAAAGAGTGTCTCCACTTTATTTTACAAAAATACTAACGGTATTGTATACATCTGTTATAGCTTTGAGGGTGAGAAATATATTTGCGAAATGTGAGTAAATATGTAGTTTGATTTTTGTTGTACAATTCCTGCTTTATTCTCTTGCAACATTTGTTTTTTTTTCATTCCAGGGCCTTTCAGGATGTGTAGTACTCTATCTCATGAAAAAAACTTCAATAAGTAAACATTTAACACCCTGTATGTTGATACCCATTTGAAACGTGAGATCAATTTCCATCTGCGAATTGAAAACATTTTTTATTCATCTCAAATGAGGAATCGGTATAACTACACCCAAGTACCCACTTATTGTTGATATATACGCTATGATTTATTTCCGATTGAGTATTTATTTTTTCTTGGAATTCCAAAGATTGAATGATAGGTGATGTGAAGTTCCTTTTACGTATCACAACTGCCATCGGCATAACATTATTCATACTGAGTTCATCGTGAATAATACGATGAAAGTCACACGATTTCCATCATCATTCAGTGAGAATGAGTTTGAGACTCACTAGATTGACTCCCAATGTTTGAAAATTTAGGGAACAAGTTTATTGACGATACATTTTTGTAAAACAAAGTTGATTTGTGTCTGTTTACTTCAGGTTGAAATATTCAGGCGTGTCTATATTCCACGCCTACATAGACACGCCTGAAGAAGCTATTTCATACTGAAATACGTGTTGTGTTTTTGTAAAACTCACAATTAAGTGTTTCTTGAATACGTAATGTATCTCAGGTCGGTAGCCGGGCGGTTCGACAATGTTCACTCTCTTGATCGACCGATGTGTGAGTCGGTGGTTTAAGTCGCATGCTGAACGATCGATTTTCACTTGGTATCGTCCAACTCGTGTGAGGAATCACACGGTGAAAATAAGACCTCGTTAGTCCTCAAGATTCGACTTCTGAGGGTTGTCGTTCGTATGGGTGTGACAGCTAGTTAATGGAAAAACATATTTTGAACAAAAATAATTCCATGAAAATCAAAAGATGAATAGATGTTCCATGTATGTCTCGTTTGCATTTACGCAGTTATTTTCATCAAGTGCCTTTCTTGGTTATTCACATTTTGTCGTCAATCGAGAACCGCCTGCCCGGACTGACGATGCCTAAGAGGCTGAAACAGCTATAAATTTGTTACAAAAAGGCTTCACTTACTGTTAGTGAGGATGGCCGTGTCAAAAAGAATGTTACATTTAAACAGTTGAAACATGTCAATAAAATAAAACGAGTCACCACTGATATAAGAAAGATTATTTAACTTTACATAATAACATCGTTATTTGATTTGAAATTATAAAATACTGGCAACAGCCATGTGGTTGCAGACCACAGAAAGAGAGACAAACAAAAACCGTTGACATTGACATTGTATGTCTATGTTGAAACTATCAAACAAAACAGTTATGGTACACGTGTGATCAGAGTCATCTGCTGTTTTGTGAGATTATCAATGAGAAAACCCAATGTCAAATACGTGAAGAAGTGTTATTGAAAGGAAGTGAAGTAATGAGTATTCAATATTATTGTTGATTTGAAAATGATGTAAATTACGACCAATATTGAGTAGAAAGGCATAAATGTCACTGGGGTGATCAATATCTGATTTTTTGTTAAGGCAATTATTTGATTGTGATATACATGACATATTGGTTAGCACCAAGTTGTTGAAACATTTTCATTTCATATGGTTAAAATTTATGTAAATTTATTGTTTTCCTTACTGTTTTCTAAGACATTTCCACTTGGTGGGCCACAATGAGAAGTAATATGGAGGGTTTCGCACTAAATGTGCCAAACACATCTATTTGCACTGCTGTTTGTTAGCAACACAACTAGTATCACTAAATTTGACAAATGATTCCAGGACATATTTATGATTTAAATTACTGTTAGGATATCTCTCATTGAACATTGTTTCCGTTCTTCTTGTGCATCTTCGATATTCTCCAAAAATAAAAAGAATTTCAGTTCTTTTTCAACGTAACACTACATGGTATAAAACAAAGACGCTTTCAGCTGTCTTTTCCTATATGTATGCTTAGATCGTTAAAACTACGCAGCGGATGCTGATGAGAGACGTTAGTTAAGAATAATTTCAGTTCTTTTTCAATGTAATTGTATGCTTGTTTATCATCATGTTGGATAATGAAAATACTTTTTACATTTGCCGCTATGTAACACTACTTGTTTCTTTCATTTCAATTCGTTAAAATTATATCACAGTGTTTTTGATACCTAGGTAAACGTGTTCACGTTTTCAATAGATTTCCCCCGAACTACTAATGAGAAAGGCCAAGTAAGTATGTAGTGTTTTTGAAAAGGTAGCTGAACGACCTTTCAAAAGAGTTTTCATTCAACCCACCCCTCTATATTTAACATTTTAGGAGTTGTATCCGCTATGCTTGAGGGTTGATGTAATTAAATAGAAAACTAGCCTGTAAACTATTTTCCCCAAAAATAAGTTTGACGTGTTTTTTAATATATTTGTATTATCTATGACATGGTGTGTCTATTGACACACTGTATATCTACAGTAGTAGATATACAAGTTGAAAATGGTGAAAAATAGAGATAATGGTCGGAAAAATACGTTCGATGGCTCATTCCATCTGGAATATCTCAAAAAATGTTCTCGAAGAGTAAATTATCGAAAAAAATTAAAAGTTAAGTATACTGATAAAAAGAGTCCACGAAGCGAAACATTTTTTGTGGTCTTCAGTCTTCTCAAATTCGAGAAACTGCGTTCTGCCGAAGCGACAGATACTGGTAATTTCACTTGAATTTGTAAAACAGTATGAATTAAAAGATAGATATTTTTATCACACCGCAATAATGAATCGATTCCAGTGTCAGATTTCGTGACAACTCTTCCACTCATGTATCCATAGTTTCAGTTCTGATGTTAATCTACGGCACAAAGAAGTTTCAGATTCACTGCTGTACATGTGCATGTTCCGCAGATGGAAGGTACAACATTTGATGAATAGAACACAGCTTTATTATTGAATCTGAATTTGAAATCCTCTGTAACACTAACAGGACAAGAAAATAGACAGTGATTCTATAATAATCATCAGGACTATTACATTGTATATTTGGTCTCATGGTTTGTTTACTTACCACCCATAGCATAGTAGATAATGTCAATCTCCAACATTTCGTGAATCTTCGATATGTATGTAGATTTTATTGAAATTGTCGTCACCTTTCTCTCTTTTAAATTGCAATGTTTGTAAAACATTCGTAATGATCTTCTTAGCGTACAAATATCTATGGTTTTAGCCTGCAAAATTTTACTCAAGTTTACTGTGAGTCCTAATACTTCTGATAAACAACATGAACTTACAATGAAGTTGATGAAAATTAGTGATAATTTCAGACAAGCAGCTTTAGAAGCGAAATCTCTCTCTCTCTTTCCAATTAGATATCAAATCAAGGGATTCAATGATATTTGAAAAACTTTCTTGAAATCGCTGAATTCATTTATGTCTTTCAACCCATCTTGTATCACATAACTTTTTTAATTTCTTTCCATTGACGTGCAATAGAACGCTGTGTCAGACATTATGAGTATGACAGACATTTGTGAGATATGGCTAACGTCTGTAGTTTCATCAAATGTAATATAGCAGTACTAACAATCTGTAATCCTCTCCAATATAGTAGTTGGAATTTCCTCTTCACATAATTCGATCAATTCATTTTGAGTTTTTGCGCTGATGTACGTTGCTTTTGAAGATGAGTTTTTTAAATGTTCTTGTACGGTATTTCCATTTTCGACACGAAAACGTAAGAGTTCTCTAAAATTCCCTTCATTCGCAGTGATATTTAACAGAAAGTATCTCAAATTCTCAATGCTGTCTTTCAGTTCCATTTCCCTCCCACCGAATTCAGAGAATAAAGCTGGAAATTTGACATCATTTACGTGCGCTCTAGCATTTCAGACACGTTATCGGATATCTACTAAACCAGCCTTTTTCAAATAGGTTAGATCACAGAAATTCTCTGGTTAAATTATAACCACAGTATTTATCTAGCCAACTGCTGTCGGTTCGGAGCATTCATTTTGTGTTTGTTTTTTGAAAGTAATTTGTTTTAGTTGTTCCTTAATTTCGAAAAGTGTTGACAGGGTAAGTGAATGAGGCCAAGTAACTTAAGGTGCTAGTTTTTGTTTTGTTATATTATTAATGTAGTTGCCAAACTATAAATATATTCAGAATTGGAAAAAAAATGTTCGGCATTTTTTCTATACAAAAAATGTGGGAAAATTCCGAAGGTTATATATAAAAGATTGAATTGTATATTATATTGTTTTGCGTTCCTATGAATGATATTTGTTTCAATTCCATAGGGAATATTTGAAATACAAACTCAATAGGATCTATTTTTGTTTTGATTCAATGTTCATATGGAAGTAAACTATAGGTATTTCAATCCGAGGTCCAGTAAATGTACACAAAAGCGCGCGAATGTTTTTTTACCAGGGCCGCAATGAGGAAAAAATATTACTTCAATGTAGTTTTAATGTATTCAGATTAAGAATTTCAGAAATATAAATTTGCAATTACTTAATACCAACGGAAATTGGTGAAGAATATACTAAAAATATTATACAAGGTGATGCAAAAGTACATACCTAGCAAACGTACCTACACATATATGATTAATCTAATGGTATGAAATGAAAGATAAAAATTGACATGTCTGTCAGGATTGTTAATGAAAGTTGTAATCGTTACTAAGTGCGGTTCATTGTCACAACACTTTTAAAGTTTTTATGACATTTAAATCTGTTTGTTGGTCCTTATGGTTTTATTCAATTCCTTGAGTAAGAAAGTGATAACTTAGTTTTTGAAAATAAATACGAAAATAGTATTTTCAATTTTGGAAGTGGAAGAATTACAAATATTCAAATTGGCTAAAGATTATTTCATTCACTGTGGCCATTGTAGTTCGTCAAAAAATGTATCACTATTATTCACATTCATAACAAATTGTTCAATTTGTTGCTTTATAATAATGTTTGATTTTCACAATTTTCGCTACACATGTTGCTGCACGTGATCAACTCATTCTTTCCACTTTTCTGACGTGATGCTAGCTATTGCATTATGGAAGATATTTTTCATGTCAGCAAATTTAAATGTAGTATTATGCTCCACAACTTTTTTTTTAGATCAGCCCAAATTACCTCAGTAGAATTAGGTTCGTAGGGATATAGTGGTAGCCTCTATTTTGAGCCTTTATTTTGTCAATAGTTACAATTCACCTAATATTTCTTCACATTGGGTATTTTTAGAACGCAGCCAGTCTTGAATACCAGATTTTCTTGATGCTGCAGTTGGATTTTTTACAGTTTCTAGAATAATACGGGACATTGTCTGATACAACAATACCGTTATCATTANGCGGGCAGGAGTATTTATTCTGCTATTTTTTGCTAACGAAGAGTATTCAACAGGAACTCCAAGAATTTGGAGCAATCCTCTTGTTGTCCTAACGAGTATCTAGTATATTTCAAAGAACCCAAGAAATCGGTTGGTGCGAAAGATGATACATTCTTACGAAACTGCAACTGCATGAACAATTGCTTGAGTTTGGTGAAAAAGATTCCTAAATTTTTTACAATTATATTCTCACGAAAAATTACTCCATTAGTTACTTACTTCACTCTTATAATTTTTCGAAATAATTTTCTCAAAATGTACAGGAAGCTCTTGTGTAGCAGAACATATGTCGTAGTTTTTGTAAAACTTTTTGTTGGAAAATTATACAGTAAACTTCAGTTGTAATTTTTATCAAGTATCATGACTCTTTTGCGAAATAGTTTTTCAATACCGAAGTTATTTTTTCACGTCAAATATTAGAGTTATTTTCACCAAAAGTAAAATTTATAATAAATCGAGGAACCTATTCAATTCAACTTTACTTTAGTAATTTTGCGGAATGGTGAAGCTATACAAAATAAAATAATTTGAATACACTGACCCGTTCGTGAAAATCAATAAAACTATTCATAATGATGATTATAAATTTTCAGTGGAACGCGTATTGGAAATATCTATATTGTAAAAATTGATAATTATTATGATGAATAAAAAATCAAATATCCTATATGAAAATTAATTTTTTATATTTCAGGATATGCATTTTGAAAAAATTACTCCAATATTTAATACCCATTCAGTAAATACTTTTAAAAATGACAGGAGTGAAGTGAAAGGCTATGAAGTTTTCTTCATCTCCTGGAGACACCAAACTTGGTGGTTGAAACCCGAGTCGGAAAGAGTTTGGCATTTCTAGTGATTGGGAAAAGTTCTTGTTTTTCTATGCCGGAGGTACCAGTATCACCTTTTATTGAAGAGAAAGTATAAATGTGTGAATTGATTACTTTATGTACACTTGTTTTTCCTTAAAAATATTCATTTGAGCCAAGAGACAGTGTTTTCCGGACCCTGGACAAATTATTGGGCATTCACATCCACCAGCGAATTCTCAAGACATATCTGAAGTTAATGTACTTTTCGAAGAGAAACATCGAGAATAAAATGTGAAAAACATTTTCAGGAGAGTGCCTAGTGAAAAAATAAATAAAATTTGTATGGAGTGTAATGAACGCAACATCGCATAAAACATTGGTAGATCCAATGAGGGTCATTCAAATTACCAAAAGATCGTCTTTTTTTTAAGGAGTAGGGGAAATCTTCATAGACTCTGTGCCGGATTTCTACCGACTAAAACCCCTTCCCTGTTGCTCAGCAGTACGTACCAGAAACCGTTCTCGCATTACTTCGGTACGTATGCCCTTGGTAGTATTCGTCTGAAGGGGCGTATTCACCAAGAAAGCGAGCACGAGCGAGCATTAGCGAGCATTAGCGACCATTCATGTATGTTTGCTCGACATATTGATGTCTCGTCCACACCAGAGCGAATATCTTCAAATTCGTAGTACCGCCTTCTTCTCGATCTTTTCTGAACGCGAACAAGCATACGTTCGCTCGCTCGCTAGCCCGTACTCACCAGACGATTATTGATGCAGAATGCTCGCTTTTTTGGTGAATACGCACCTTGAGACAGTTAAAATGTATTTAATATATCTATACGAAGCTCACACAAACATTTAAAGGAGATATCACCGCTTTTATCACATGCTTTTTGCTTGAGTTTCCCATCACTTGCTCTCTCTCTCTCTCTCTCTCTCTCTCCTTAGTTTCGATGATCATATTTTCGGCATTGAATATTATATTTGTTTCACGTGTGTACAGAAGTCTTTCATTTTCCCATCTTATACAAACAAAGAGGGTGTGTTCTACGTCATCGTCTGCATTGCAGTAGGTACAATCTGAAGATAATGATCTCCTACGATAATATAAATAGTCCACCCCCTCCCCCAATAGTTTCTATTCAACAATCTCTCTATTGCAGTTATTAGTCGATATGTCCATCTACCGAATTGACCGTTGTCCCATTTTCATTGCCTGCTATTCATTAAGTTTTCCCTGGCGATTCCTTTAGAAATGCCTGCATATCGCTCTTTCCTCTCAATGATTTGGAACTCTATTGATAGAATTTCAGCAATAACACATGCTGCTTCTGCAGATATAGTTCTATATGCCCTATAGGTTCTAATTGTTCGTTTTTTTTTGTATGCCGACGACCTTTTGGACTATTTTTTTGTTTTGAGTTACTGTGTGCCATGATGGTGAACTGTACAAAATCTGAGAGTGGACCACTCCAGACAAAATCTTTTTTTTTAGAAGACCTAGGACCTCCAACATTGGGTATCAAACTGGCCAACGCAGAAACTGTTTTCTCTGCCTTAAAAATACTTTGGGATGCGTGTTCGGCAAAGATGAGCTTTGTGTCAAGCCATACCCCTAGGTACTTAACAGCTTTGCTCAGGGCAAACGCTCATCTTGCAGTTCAAAAGTTATTGGTCTCAGCTTTCTCAATTTGGTAGGCAGTAGTGCTTCGATTTTTTCTGAAGCTAAACTAAGGAGTCTAGGTGAATATGAAATGATCTAAATTGGTTGCGATATTTACTTTTAGTCATATCCAGGTGATGCCAGGTTGATTAGTGATGACAGACAGGTTTTTGTTTTCGTATTTGCAAAGTGTTTTCGTTAAAGTCATCACACTCATTTTGATTTCTGATGAAACGATTTCCAACTGTCTTGAAAACCTACAAATTGTGATTGAAAGTAACGAAACGGGAATTTTATTCCGTTTCGAAACATTATATATTTCGTTATTAGTAATGGAAATATCTTCAATAAAGGCATCCAATAAAAAGGAAGCCATTTCAGTTTTTGGAAATGACCAATGAAAATGCTGACAACTTCTACAGTGAGGATGTTCCATGTAAGTGAAATTTTACCTGTTTCATTAACTTTATTGTGTAGGAATCCTGTGGATGATATCTAATTCAATTCCATAACGAATGTTTGGAAAGTATTTTTGTACAATTCAGTGTTTATATAAAAGTATCACTTTCGAAAGTATTTTTCTTTTTGTGTAATTCAATGTTTATATGAAAGTAGCTGTTTCAGGAGGGCTTTTTGTTCCAGTTTGTATCTGAAAGTTACTTCTTCTTATATGTACATCTTTGTACTCGTATAGAGTTACTTTTTTTAAATTGATTGCTTCCTTCCTTTCTTTGGAAGATTCCCGCAAATTTTTTCATCAAGATGGAGAAGTAGAAAGCCATAACCTTTCTTTCCCAAAAATTAATTTCTCCTGAAAAAACCCCATTCAATTTAAATAAATTTTTTTTGGCTGGGATTTAATAAAATAAACGAATGAATTTCATTACGTACTGTCATCGATGACATGAACAGATTAAACTCATTCCGCGACATGAAGTCGTAATTTTATGAATTAATTGTGTGTTTTTTCTTTTAATATTATCCAGATTTGGTACTGAAGGGCTGATAAGGCAAGTATCTTACGGTGAAACATCGGATGTCTACCAGTGAGGATGACAGTGTTTCATGTAAGTGGAATTTTACCTCTTTCATTTTCTATATTGTGTAGAAATCCTGTGAATGATATCGAATTTAATTCCATAACGAATCTTTGGAGTACAAACTGAAAAGAGAAAAGTGTTTTTTGTATAATTCCGTATTCATATGAAAGTATTTGTTCCGAATGTATTTTCCTTTCGTGTAATTCAATGTTTATCTGAAAGTAGCTAGTTTGCGTCTGAAAGTTACTTCTTTGCATCATCCACACATCTTTGTTCAGAGTTAATTTTTGAAATTGATTGCTTTCCTCTTTTTTTGGAAAGATGAATAACTAGAAAGCCAAAACCTTTTTTTTCTAAATACTTTTTCTATGGCTGCACTCTTTTAGTACTTTAGCTTGCTATTTAAGAAACTTCTTCTGATAATTTAGACCTTTCAATTCTGTATCCTATATTTGTTATCTATTTGCCAACAACTGAGCTCCGTTGTGTTAATAATTCTGAGAAATATTGGATGGAAATATTGTAGACATTATTATTTATTTTATCCATCACTCGCTGCAGATTGAATCAGGTTTTCAGTATTGGTAGAGATTTAATCTCGCCATCTGATTTGGAAGATCATTCAACAAATGAAATAGTCGACTGCTTTGAGAAACTGGAATCTTTTAGTGGAGTTTGAAGAGGTGTGAGCCACAATGAACCCTCGCGAGTTGAGTGGAGGGTCGAAAGGAACTACTCACTCTGAATTTAACAAAAAACCATTGTGTCAATAATTCCAAAAACGTTGGATGGAAATTGTTTCAATAATGATTTTAAAAAACCCTTCAGTCACCCTTCAGTCAGTCTTTAAAATTCATTTATTCATTTATTTTGATACAATATATACCATCCAGGTACTTGATTGAGTACCTGAATTTACAGTTCACAATGCGGATATGCCAATTTAAAAACCGGAGAGTGAATTGAATCGATTTAACCGTTTAACAGGTTGCACCCGCAATGTTTATGCTTCTGAATTTTCCTAGGATTCTAAATAATTGAGTTTGCAACCCTTCTTTGCATAGTGCAGAATTTCCGTATCGTTCAGATTCGGAAACTTGTGGTTGTATGCCAAGGAATGGTTTGAAAACGTCGAATCATTTTTTCCTAGTCTGAAGGACCTTTCATGTTCAGCATACCGTTTTTGGAAATTTCGTCCGCATTGTCCCACATAAACACTATTACACTCTGGACACTTAAGCTTATAAACTCCAGATTTTTTCTAACTTGTTGACCTTATCTTTGGCATTGAAAAGGAAATGAGATAACCTGGCATGTGGTCTGAATGCTACTTCCACATTGTTTTTTCTGAAGAAACCTGCGATTATTTCTGTTCTTTTTCCAAAATATGTTAGCGTTACCCATTTCTTGATTTCTGATTGTTTGACCCGAGGATAAATTAATCTGTGAGCGAATTTCCGGCTTTGTTTCCTGACTAACTTCTGGATAGTATCTGCGTTGAAACCATTATTATGACCTATCTGTGTAATTGTATCAATTTCCCTTGCTAGATTGTCTGCAGACAAAGACAGTGCGAATGCTCTGTGCAACATTGAGTTGTAGGCTGCTAATTTATGACTGTTTGGATGGAAAGAATCGCTTGTGATGGTGATGTCTGTATAGCTAGGTTTTCTGAAAACATTGAACTCGAATTTATTCTGATTGTGTGTAATGGCCATGTCTAAGAAATTTATCTGTTTCTCTATCTCTGTTTCGAGTGTAAACTGAATGTTGCTATTGAGATTGTTCATGTAGTACCTCTGAAACAGGCAAAAATATCGTCTACATATCTGTACCAAAAATGAATATGTTTTTTACCCAGGTCGGAGTTTACTATAGTGGTCTCCAAGTTGTTCATAAATATTTCCAAAAACGGTATGCTGAAAATGAAAGGTCCTTCAGACTAGGAAAAAATGATTCGACGTTTTCAAACCATTCCTTGGCATGCAACCAAGGAAGGGTTGCAAACTCAATTATTTAGAATCCTTGGAAATTTACAAGCATAAACATTGCGGGTGCAACCTGTTAAAAATGATCAAATCGATTCAATTTACTCACCGGTTAATTGGCATATCCGTATTGTGAACTGTAAATTCAGGTACTCAATCAATTACCTGAAAGGTATATATTGGCGAATGTAATGAATCATTGTTAGTTTATTGTATTAGTTTGAGAATGTCCTTATAGGAAGAAACTGCAGTAACGTTAGTTACAATTAAAAGTGGTAAAAAACAAAGAAATTTTCATTTCTCTTTTCATTTCTACAAACTTCTAGTAGGGTTGAATGCATCCTTCTATAGTCTTTTTTCACGAGCAGCGGAGTAACAGCATAATAAACCATTTTCAAGTTGCTTTCCATACTGTACATAATTGAATCGGATGAAAAGTAAAAAATGTAGTGTTCATTTTGGACATTCAATGTTGTATGATTTGATATAACAAATCTCAAAAGACTTTTCATAGTTGGTGCTACCGAAACACCTGATGTCTGTAATATTCCTTTTTGACCCGGAAGACGTTGAACATTTTTTCAAACAGCAAATTGTGGGTTTATGACAAACTGAATGGGAGAGAACAGATACCAAATTGAAGGAGGCGAAGCTGTGAATTACACCCTGGAGGTATTCTATTCCACAGAAACGAAGAGAACAAATTCTGATCACACGCTTGAGAATGGGTCATACCAACCCATCAAACATATTCATTTTTTCAAAAGGAAAACAACCAATATGCCAACAATGTAGGAGAAGGCTAACTGTGAAACATATTTTGCTATGTCCAATATGATAAAGCTAGACAACGATTTGAAATATCAAAACCTTTGAAAGGATGCCTGAAAAATCATAGTGAAAATCTCGATAAAATTATAAAATGTATGAAAGCTATAGAGCTGTACTCAAAAATTTTATCAAGAAATTATGAAAAACAAACTAATAGTAGGAGGCCAATGACCTCGTAGTCGACATCTTTGAACCACAAAAAAAATAACGGATTTTACATTTGGGTACATTAGTGCCAAATGAGATTTATCTATGTTGTTTTTCTTAAGCACACCGATCATTTGGTTTGGTTTTTTCTCCACCATAGTTTTTGAAATAGCTGCTTCGTGAATCCGATATTACAGAAGTTGACGGCGGAAGTGCCTGGTTGACAATTTTCGATTTTGACGAATTTGCTCCGGCATAATTCCAGATTCTTGCTTAATTTTGGCTTACAGAAAGGTTTGGCTAGCCAATTTAGACGTTGCAATCTCAATAACTTTGACTTTTGCATTCTTTATTGCGCCCTTGTCATAATTGATGAATAATTGATTGACCAACGCTTTTTCAATCTCCAAACACCCGTCAAACCAACAAACGGCACTAAACTGAGTGATTTTGCAGTCTGTCAGACTGTCATTCACCATTTTTTGATTCACAAAAGATTTTTCGGGGATAAGTCACTAATTTCATTAGTTTGAAACGTTAATCAATTAAGGAAATGATATCTCAATATTTAATTTTTTTTTGGTTCATTCATAAACACATATTACTCACTAATTTGTGATCAGGTTCATTCAATAAATTAAAGAGTATCGCTCGTTTTTATTTCCATATTCGATGCTGTTTGCAGTGAAATAATTGCATAGATGATTTCAATACACCGACCAGTCTGAAGACATTGAATTACATTTTTGAATATGACCAGGTAATTATTTTCATGCCATTTCGATTTCTCCAAATCTCAGTATTATGGAAATAACTCAAGCACTTGAAATTATCTTATCGCCACTTGTAATGTATTCAACCTCAATTTGAGGGTGATATAATTACTAAAACTAAAAAGTGAAGTTTCTGTGTCAATCATTATTTCCAACAACAATCCGTAGCACTTCAAGCATTTCATATCTCAAAGATATTAACACCTAAAAATTAACACTTAGAAATGTTCAATATAATATCAATACTTCTCATGAAGTCTAGGAAAATTTGTCGTAGAAAGTGTAAATATCTATTCTCATCCAAACTCTCCTTGAAAAAGTTATATCCAATATAGAATTACAATTTAGAAACAGAATTATATCCAATATACCAATATTAAGTTTGGTACTGAAACGTTTTCGGAAATTTGTATCACTGGTTCTCATGACTCCAAGAAAGTGAACATTACAATTGAACATGCATTTATGGATGAACCTACTTTCATCTGTCCACATAATTTCAAAATCAATCCTATTGTCATTGTGGTTCCTCCTCTACGTTCTAGGTTTTAAATTATGCACCTTTCGAATTTTCAGATACCCCAATGTTATTCAATTCCTCGTAAGGACACTTCTTCTTCATCGATGTTTGTTTCATAATTGACATATCCAAGAAAATCATCGATATTTTCTGCACAATCAGAGACATGATTTGACCATGTACGCGGTTTATGAAATGAACCAAATTCTCTTGAATTTTGTTCCAGTTTCCTGAAATGTGAGAGAGAGAGAGAGACGTTCTTTATTCAACAAAGAAAAATCTTTATACACTGGCAGTACAAAACATCAGATTGGACAACAATGACTAGATATGAATTCTATTGAATTATGGAAAAATATGCATGAAAATTACATTAATTCAGAATTTTGGAAGTTCAGTTACTATTATATACATATTTCAAAGCTTTCGATAACAAGAAGCCAAATAATTATGATTTGATTTTTTTCAACGGAATATTTACTTCAGTACTCATCTAATTCTTGACAAAAAAAGACAGCTTATCTTACAGAACTATGAAGGATTGCGGCTACCTAAGTAAGCTTATATTACAGCTTGTATAAATCTAATGCTTTTCACATATAGTCAGTGGGCATACTTGAAGACTGGCTATAAATCAAATCATCTAAAAGAACAATTCATTCAGGCCGGTCTCAACCCCCTACACAGTAGGTTAATGGACTGACACCTATCAAAAAACAACTACTCCCCTGGCTAATACCACGAAGGGCGTTGAATTGTGTCAGTGCA